ATACTAAATAAAAATTAAAGAAAAAGTCCTGAAAATTTTCATTTAGCTAGCTCAGTAAATAAAGGAATTTCATCTCGCAGAACTTTTCAGATTTTTTATTATGATTCATGAGGACTTATATGAGAATATCTTATAAAAATTATTATTTCTGTGACCTAATTCTGAAAACAAAGCACATAAATCCTCTTATTATGATTCTTCAAAGATTCATCAAAGAAGATATTATAGTCGAGATGTTGATCGAGTTTTTAAGTCTTTAAAAATAAATTTCACATTATATTGGAAAAATATTATAATTTTATTCTTTTTTAATTTATTTAGGACCTTAAAATTAGCTAATATTTTAGTTATCAAATCTTTATTTATTTAAAATCATTAAGACGTTTACCTTATATAAATGTTTTTTTACTTATTTAAAATATGTATATCTATAATCTTACTTTACCTATAGCTTTTTGAGGTACAGATTTAGAAGTTTTAGCCATCACTATGCGGAAAATCCGAGAAATAATTATTTGATACCATATTTAATCATACTAAACCGTACAAGCCTAAATTTTCATATATATATATATATATTAAAAGCACGAAGACCTTTAGCGAAATATTGTTCGCCTTTTTTACCCTTTAAAAATTGATTTCTTATTAGACAAAATAGTAATTTAATTAGTTTCTAATATTTGACACTTCAAAATCAACTACTAAATTTTTTGTATTAATATTTTTCCTTATTTAAGCTATGTAATATACCATATTTATAAATGTAATACCAGCAAATGAAAGTAGGAACCTTAGCGTGTACTTAAGACTCTTTTTAGGTTTAGGAGTTTTATCCTTGTTGTAGAATTGTAGCCGATTAATTCTTCATAATTTTATTGTTTTTGTAAAAATTGAAAACAAAATTAATTGAAAGCGAATAAATAGGAAGTAAATAAAGTCTGATACAGTTAGAACTTAGAACTCCTTATTCTTTAATTGTTTTACAAATAGTACTCTTTGTGTAAATATTTCAAAAGGTATTCACTATCCACTTTACAACACAAAATGATAAATCTTTAACAGAGTGATTTATGCAATTTCTAAAAAATTAAGAACATTCAGGGTAATTTATGCAAAAAAATTCAAATGAAAAGATCTATTGGTAGACCATAAGTTAAAATGAATGCATTGAAATTTACCAATAAAAGATTAGATAAAATTTAAGTCCAAAATTATTGAAGTCTCCTATACAGCGTAAATCGAACCTATAAACATATTAGGACGAATAAAAATTACCTATAAATAAGTTAATAAAAGCCAAGACTATATTTTGAAAATAATTATATTTTAGTAATAAAAAATTGTAGTTTATTTTAAATTTTTTATAAACTTATACAAGTTAAAGAACAAAATCAATTAGACTAGCGAAGCATAGATAAGATAGTGAAATTTATATATCAAAATTAACAGTAATAAAGAGTATGTATTTCTTTCTAAGATTTCGAGGATGAAATAGTAAAAAATAAAATGTATTATAAATAAGTTATTGTTTTTATTATTTTTTTCTTCGTTTGCATTCAGTCCGACAAATGATAGCCTCACTATATTGCTCTTATGTTAAATTATTTATCGTAATATTAACTGTAGTCATTTTTAAACTTTATAATTTCAAGTTCAAAACTATTTAAGTATCCTAACATCGTAAACCAGACCTATAAATATATTAGGACAAGTAAAAAAATTATTTATAAATAGGCTTATAAATGGCATGACTATATTTTGAAAATAATTTAATTATAGTCATAATAAATATAATGTACTTTAAACTTTTTTTTTTTGAACTTATACATGTTAAAGCACAAATCCAATTAGATAAGTGAAGCATAAATAGGATACCAAATTTATATATCTAAATTAATACTAATAAAATTGTATGTATATCTTTATAAGAACTTAAGAATGAAATAGTAGAAAAAAATATACTATAAATAATTTGACATTTTTTGCTTTCTTGCATTCCATCCAATAAATGACAATGCTTCGTCACATTCTTCCATAATAAGTTATTTTTTTGTAAAATATCAACTCACCCGTAACTTTTTTAGACTTTAAATTGTTATTATTAACTGTTTGGGGACCTATATGGCCAACCTTTTCATTCCTAAATCTTTTGTGTTTTCTTTTTAGTACTAGGTCATTGAAATAATAATAATTTTCATAAGATATTCTCATATAAGTCCTCATAATTAACAAAAAAGCATCTACAATGCGTGATTTACGTGATTTTTTGGGAATTCGAGTAATATTTATGTGATTTTCTTTGAAATTATGTACATACTGATATGGGTACACGCGCAAAGCGCGTACCTTAAAACTAGTATTATAAAAGCACGAAGCCTTTATGAGAAATGTTCATTGACTTTTTATCTTTTAAAAATAATTTTTATAGTGAATAAAAATGTAATTTAAATATTTTATAATTATTTATGTTTTAAAAATTAATCGAAATTTTTGCTTATTAAGTTATTTCTTATTTGAGTTAAGTAGGAAGTCCAAATATTTAGGCTTTAAAATAGATTTATATATATATATATATATATATATATATAAAATATGTGTGTGTGTGTGTGTGTGTGTGTGTCTACTTTAATATGTATAGTTGCATAAACACTCTTAGTGAATTTAATAACCTTCTATAGTAATTTGTTCGTCCTATTAAATTTTTATATTTTAGTAATTTTTTTTGCTCACGCACATTTCGACAAAATTATGTAAATCATTTTTTGTATTCAACAACTAAAACCTCATTACATGAGTAACATTGAAACCTTTGAAAAGGGAGATAAACTGAGAAGATTTATGATTCCGTTTTTAATTTTTGTCAATTGATACATTTTTAAAGAATCGTGATAATATATTATGTGTTTCAGAAAAAATCTTAAATTCTAAATCGTTAAGGTTATGTGTTTTTACTGAAACTAAAAATAAAATACGATAACTTGTGATTTAACTGATAAAATTAAAAAATTAAAAAATAATTAAAGGTGAATATATTGAATAATTATTATGAATAATTTTTTATTGAGTTAGCTGTATAGGATCAATATTTATCAACTTCAGAAGCTTATACTTTATTTTATAGCTTAAATATGAATTTTTTAATATTTTGACAAAACTTATTTTTGAGATGGGCAACACGCGCAACGCGAGTACACTAAGACTACTAAGTTTTAAATGTTGGAAAGATAGGCAATATTATAACATAACAAATATTTACATAAGCTTAGAGTCTTGGATGCCTACAAGGCATCCTTTGTACAAGGGTAGAGCCAGATTGTAGTTTTCCTCCTACTGGAGGAACAAACCTAGTGCTCGAAGTAGTAGCTACTAAAGGAGTTCTTCTATTACACATAGTAGATATTTCGTAAGAACTAGAATTAGAGAGAAAATGTCTAACATTCCTACTAAGATGCCGAGTCATCCTGCTGTGGAGTGTGCCCTGGTGATCTTGTTGGTAACAAGACATTGCAAAAAGTGGGGGTGATTCAAAAAGTAGGCATTGCTCCTTTACATGCGTTGCACCATATTTAGCTAATTTGTCTGCTACATCATTCTGCTCTCTATAGATAACTTGTACAGATGCGCTATCCAGCTGTTGAAGCAAGGACCTGCAATCATCAACAATATTAATACAGCTCATAGCAGGTGATTTTAACATACCAATTATATTCTGTGCATCCGTCTCAATGGTGAGTGGTAAGAGCCTTTGCTTGACAGCAATTTGTAAGCCTTTGAGGAGTGCAAGCAGTTCTATTTGGATAGGGTTGCCTTGATTGACACATCCTGCAAATCCTATGATCCAATTGCTTTGATGGTTGCGGATAACTCCACCAATGCCATAAGTGCATAGAGCCGGGCAGCAAGATCCATCAATATTTAATTTATAACACATATGATCAGGTGGATGCCACTTGATATAGATAGGAGACTTTGACTGCTTCTTATTAGAGTGAGTTGTTAAGAAATAATATTCAGCTACCTTTACTAGTAAGGAAGCCTTATTTAAGTCATTTACTTTATGTTCGTAAACAAACTTATTCCATTTTATCCAAATTTCCCATAAAGCAAATGGAATTATAGTTGTTGAAGGGATGTTGTATGGTATAGATGGCAGTGGTGTATGTATAAAATTATACAACCAAGTCATAATGTTATTTTGAGATGCAGATGTTGTGATGGTAGGAGGTGTTATTTTAAGATATTTCCAAAGAAGTATTGTATTAGCACAATTGTTGAATAAGTGAGTAATCGTTTCAGTGTTTTGGTGACATTGTGGGCAGTTTGCTGAGTTTGTAATACCTATACGTGTGAGATACTCAGCTATTGGGAGTCTATTATGACATAGTAGCCAAACAAAAAAAGATATTTTATGGGGAATGGGAAGTGTCCAAATCCAATTGAAGGAATATGGTCGTGTTATAGCTGTGGATGTATTAGTAGTGGTTAAACACTTTTACATAGATTTAACTGAGAACATCCCATTCTCATTTTGATTCCAGCATATTTTGTCATATCTAATAGATTCAATAGGCATATAAATATTATTAACAAGTGAAATAATATGTAGAGGAAACTCAAATGGCATGGTGTCTAGGTGCCATCTATTATCAAAGTAGTAATTGGAAACTAATTTATTATCCTCAAATTGGGGCATAGGTCCATGAATATAGTCTCTAAGTGTAAAATTATACTTGAGCCATGGGTCAGTCCAAAACTTGACATGATGTCCTGTTGCAATATTCCATTTATAACCTAGTCGACAATACTTCCAGCCGTTAATAATATTACGCCAAGTAGGGGAGCTATGGTAACGTGGTAGTGGTTTTGGCCTTACATAATTGCGTAAAAGGACTTGTGCCCATAATTCTTGAGGATTATTGAACATTTTCCACGCAAGACTTGCATAGAGTGACTTATTTTTTATATCAAGACTTTGTATACCCAGGCCTCCAAGTTCCAAAGGTTGCGTGATTGTTGACCACTTGAGAAGATGTAGTGTTTTCTTTTGTACAGTTGTGCCCCACAAGAAATTTCTTTGGTATCTATTAAGAAGGCTTAGAATATAATTAGGTATTTTTATGAATTGCATCAAGTGATTTGGAAGATGATTGTGTTGATTTTATTAAAGTTAGTCTTCCCGCTTTAGATAGAAAATTAGTTTTCCAGCCTGAAAATTTTATTTTGAAATTACCCACTAATGATTGATAGTTAGATTTTGTAGGTCTGGATGTAAAAATTGGGAAACCCAAGTACTTCCCAAAGCTACGACCCTCTTTCATATGAAAAAGTTGCAAAATTATATTTTTAGTATTGGGTTGACAATTTGTGGAGAAATAAATTTTTGATTTATCAAAATTAATAGATTGTCCTGATTGATTAGTGAAATGAGTAATAGTAGTAACCATTGTTTGGCATGTACTTGCAGTGATTTGTGAAGTCAGGATAATATCATCTGCAAAGAATAAATGAGATAAGGAAGGCCCAGTTTTTGCTAATGATATTGGTTTCCAAGCCTGGTAATCAACAGCAGTATTGATCTTTCTTGACAACATTTCAAGACAAATGATAAACAAATAGGGTGACAAAGGATCACCCTATCTGATACCCCATGTGGGATGAAAAGTATCAGTGGGACTACCATTGATTAATATAGAAGTAGTAGTGGTAGTAACACAAGACATAATTAGTTTAATAAACTGAGCTGGAAAATTTAAACTTACCAATATTTCGAATAAAGGACCATTCTAATTTATCAAACGCTTTTTTCAGATCAATCTTAAGAAGCATACTAAGTTTATTTCCTTTCATTTTTGAAACTTAGTGATAATTTCCTGTACGATGATAGCATTATCCGCAACTCTTTTATTTTGTTGAAAGCTAGACTGTGTAGGATGAATGATGTGTTCCAAAATTGGTTTTAATCTATTTACCAAAATTTTTGTTATAATTTTGTAAATAGTATTACAAAGACTGATAGGTCGGTATTGTGCAACTGTGGAAGCATTATTATTTTTGGGGATAAGACAGATATAGGTAGAATTTATTGAGGGATCAATTTCATAGTCAGTGAACACCTTATGACAGAAATTAAGCACAGAATCCCCAATGGTGACCCAATAATTTTGGTAGAATAAGGGATGAAGTCCATCTGGCCCAGGAGCTTTCATAGGCTTGAAAGACTTGATAGCATTAAGAATTTCAAAGTTTTGTAGAGGTTGTATTAGGGGTTCATGGTCAGCATGGGTTAATATGTTGGAAGGAAGTAGTGTTGGTTTTGAAATTGATATGGTTTTCTGCGTGGTAAATAAATTTTGATAATATAGGGAAATATGTTCCAGTATTTGTTTAGGATGTGTTATCCAATTTCCCCCCTGGTCTTGAATAGCTGTGATTCTATTGTGCCTTCTACGATTAATAGTACTGAGATCGAAAAATTTAGTGTTAGCATCCCCATTATTAAGCCAGTCAATACGGGATTTCAGTTTCCAAAAGTCTTCCTTTAACCTAAGTATTCGATTAAAATCCAATTTAAGTTCTTTTTCCAAATTTTGTAAGAAATTGCTAGTTGGATAATGGATAGAGGCCCGAATCCCATTTAATCTGGCAAGTATAGTATTTTTTTGTTTGAAAATATTACCAAAGATAGATGTGTTCCATTGTTGTACTACTGTTGTGAAATTATCAATTGCAGGAAGGAGTGTGACATTATCCACCCAAGCTTGTTTAATTACATCTTTAAAAGCATGATGACTAGTCCAAATTGTTTCAAACCTAAATACCTTAGTCCTAGGCAATGGGCAGTGATGAAGTTCTAATTTAATGGGGCACTGATCTGAGTGTGTGCGTGGAAGGTGTGTGTCAAGGGCATTTGAGTACTGATTTTTCAAATCGTAATTAGCAAGTATACGATCAATTCATTCAAGTATGGTATACTTTTTATGTCTTCCATTAGTCTAAGTATAACGACTACCCTNAAGGAGACTCACCTCGCTCCGAAGATCCATAACCGGCATTCCACGCCCTTCCGAAGACTCGAATCGATGCACAACGCTCCAAAACTAGCCAATGATTATGTAAACCCATTAACATATGCTAAGGTACTCATTATAATCCAATTTATAACAATTCCTAACCCCGATCGAAAAGTTGACAAAAACGCCCTCGGGGCCACGTGCCCGGAATCCGAGATTTTTTGAAGATAAAGTTTACCCATAGCCTCACGAACTCAAATATATGATTTTCTCTAAATTCCATACCCAAAATCGTGGTCAAAATCCAAGAATACTAGTTTTCTAGGTTTTTCCTGAAACCCCAAGTTTTTCTACAATTTCCATGTCTAAATTCATATATAAACCTTGCATTTAACTCAAAACTAGCATAAATCACTTACCTCATGATGAATGACGGAACCCCCTCTTCAAAAGCTCCAAGAATCGCCCAAGCCAAGAGAAAAATGGGTGAAATGAACTCAAACCCCGATTTTTAAACATTCTGCCCAGCCCAGGTCCGCCCTTCTTCGCGTTCGCGACCTTCCGCTCGCGTTCGCGAAGACCGGTCACCCAGCCCTTTGCGTTCGCGTACAAGGCCTCGCGTTCGCGTAGGCCAAAGACCCCAGGCCCATCTCTTTTTCCTTCTACGCATTCGCGATCTCCTCCTCGCGTTCGCGTAGCAGCTCAGCCCACCCCTTCGCGTTCGCGACTCCCTCTTCGCGTTCGCGAAGGCCAAAACCAGCAGCCTCCCACTTTCCTCTTCGCGTTCACGAGACTCCCTCCGCGTTCGCGAAGAAGGAAACCAGAAATAGAAATTTGCAGCAGCCACACAACCCGAAATGATTAGAAACTACCCCGAAACACACCCGAGGCCTCCCGGGACCCCAACCAATCATGCCAACCAGTCCCAAAACAATTACGGACTTGCTCGAGGCCTCAAATCACATCAAACAACGCTAAAATCATGAATCAACCCCTAATCCAAGCTTTATGAACTTTAGAACTTCTAACTTCTACTTTCGATGCTTAAACCTATCAAATCACGTCCGATTGACCTCAAATTTTGCACACAAGTCATATTCGACATTACGGACCTACTCCAACTTTCGGAATCGGATTCCGACCCCGATATCAAAAAGTCCACTTCCGGTCAAACTTCTCAAAAACCTTCAAATTTCTATCTTTAGCCAGATGGCTCCAAAATGACCTACGGATCTCCGAATTCACTTCCGATTGCGCTCCCAACTCCAGAATCACCATACGGAGCTGCTCCCAGACTCGAAATCCCAAACAGACATCGATATCACTGAAATGCACTTCAACCCAAACTTATGAAATTTCTTTCAAAATGCTACTTTCCACAATAGGCGCCAAAACGCTCCCGGGTATTCCAAAACCCGATCCGGGCATACGCCCAAGTCCGAAATCATCATACGAACCAGCTGGAACCTTCAGATCCCGATTCCGAGATCGTTTACTAAAAATTCCAATCCTAGTTAATTCTTTCAACTTAAGGCTTCCGAAATGAGAATTCTCTTTCCAAATCAATTCTGAACTTCCCGAAACTTAATTCCGACCATGCGTACAAGTCATAATACCTGAAATGAAGTTGTTTATGGCCTCAGACTGTTGAACGACGTGCTAGAGCTCAAAAAGACCGGTCGGGTCGTTACAATCAATATTTAATTTGTAACACATATGATCAGGTGGATGCCACTTGATATAGATAGGAGACTTTGACTGCTTCTTATTAGAGTGAGTTGTTAAGAAATAATATTCTGCTACCTTTACTAGTAAGGCAGCCTTATTTAAGTCATTTACTTTATGTTCGTAAATAAACTTATTCCTTTTTATCCAAATTTCCCATAAAGCAAATGGAATTATAGTTGTTGAAGGGATGTTG